TTCCCTCTCGTGCTTTCTATCTCTCATTCTCTCTCTCTGTCAAATAAATAAAATCTTTAAAAAAAAAAACCTGTTTTGTGTATTTGTACACTTATTGGCTTAAAAATTATATATACTTTTTGTATTACTAAATTATATACATTATACATGGAAGTGAAATTATAAAGAAGTTCTCCTCTTTCTTTTCTGTAACCCAAAGTGCTGTCACATCACACTTTAAAGACTAGTAGATTACAGATTTAAACTCAAAAGGCCAAGGTCACGGGTTGGATTCTAGCATGTGCCAGTCAGCCTACTATGGAAAAAACTATCTGTTCAAGAGCCTAACCGGAATCTAACAGCCATTTACGCCTTTAAATTATGATGCTGTGAAGAACTATACTCTATAACATTCCAAATGTCTTATCAGTTTTCTTTCCTGGGTAAGTGGGATGTAATTCTAGGCTGCAATATTGTTTCATCTTTTATTTCATAAAAATACTATAATTATGTGTCACAAGGATGCAACACAGGCAGGGAAGGATCACTGAATTATAAATGTTTTGCATTTTGCAGCAGGCATATAGGATCAAGTCTTACTCTCATAATGAGAGCTACAATCAGGTCATGGGTCTCAAAATAAACAGCAGTAACTATTCAAGAAAGATTTCGTCTTGGATGACTACCCTTCCTTTCCTCTCATGTCAAACAAGTTACCAAAAAACACAGAATCTCCCTTTGATCCCTTCACTCAACAAACATACACTAAAACATCTACTGTGTATCAAACATGGAAATGGGAATACCCTTCTTTCTTTCTCCCCCCCCCCATTTCCAAAAGCATCACCCAGGTACAATTCTTCATTACCTTTCCTGTGGAAAACTGAAACGAGCTTGGTTACTCATAATGCCCCTTTGTGCCACTGCCAGTCCACTTCATCCTCCCAACAAATTCATTTTTTTTAAGATCTTATTTATTTATTTGGCAGAGAGAGAGAGCAAGAGTGAGCACAAGCAGGGGGAGTGGCAGGCAGAGGGAGAGGGAGAAGCAGGCTCCCCGCTGGGCAGGGAGCCGGAAGTGGGACTCGATCCCAGAACCCTGGGATCATGACCTGAGCCGCAGGCAGACGCTTAACGACTGAGTCGCCCAGGTGCTCAACAAATTCATTTTCTGAAAGGAGATAGCTCCAGTCATATGACGAGACTGCCCAAAAACTCCTCTAAGTTTTCCTAAATTAAATTTCCTAAATTAAATTCACCTTGGCATATAAGGCCCTCTACAATATGGCTGCACTTAGTTTTATGGTATTATCTCCCAACATTGCCTTACATGTAATCTTTTGTCAACCTGGGTTTTTTCCTGTTCCTTAAACTTTTTGTTTTTAAAATTAAATATGCGCACATGGATGACAAATCAAATAGTGACAAAATACCCTATGATGAAACACAAGTCTCCTCTTACCCCCATACCTAGGCTTTTAAAAAAAGTTAGTTCCTTTTGCACTTACATTGGTAATTTCTTGGTTTATTAAGACGATGCCTGCTGATTTAAAAATAAGATGAAGGATTCACTCATACCCCTTTCATCATCTTCTTCCCCACTATTTGATAATTATATTACTTTTACATAAATTTCTCATCTTTTCTATTAGTTTTGGATAGAATCCTAACTCCTCACTTAGTTTTGTTTTTTTCAAGATTTATTTATTTGAGAAACAGGGAGAGTGTGCAAGGGGGGAGGGGCACAGGCAGAGGGAGAGAGAGAATCTCAAGCAGACTCCCCACCCCCGACCCCAGCACAGAGCCCAAAGCGAGGCTTGATCTCATGACCCTGAGATCATGACCTGAGCTGAAACCAAGAGTTGGAAACAACCTATTGAGCCACTCAGGCGCTCCCTAACTCCTCACTTTATGAAAGGAGGTTAATAGTGCCTATAGTGGGACGCCTGGGTGGCTCAGTCAGTTAAGTGTCTCTGCCTTTAGTTCAGGTCATGATCCTGGGTCTTGGGATCGAGTACCGTATCAGGCTCCTTGCTCAGCGAGGAGGCTGCTTCTCCCTCTGCCTGACGCTCCCCCTCCTTGTGCTCTCTTGCTGTCAGACAAATAAACGAGTAAAAAAAAAAAAATCTTAAAAAAAAAAAATAGTGCCTGTACGTTTTTTCTCTGAAACTTCCCTAACCTTCTAGCTAAATATATATATTTTTAAAGATTTTATTTATTTATTTGACAGAGAGAGAGACAGCGAGAGAGGGAACACAAGCAGGGGGAG